CTCGAAGGGAAACATGTTATGTAAGAACACAGGTCCAAGAATACTAATCTCCTTCACCAAATGAACTAGGATGTGTGTCATGATATTAAAGAAGGATGGAGGAACACCAACTCAAAGTCGACAAGACATTGAACCACATCATTCTCAGAGAGTAGCTAGTTCCTTGGATTGATTGCCTTCTAAGAAATTGCATTGAGGAATGCACATAGCTTCACGGTGGCTAGACGTACATGTGGAGGTAGAATTACTCTTAAAAGCAGCTGGAAGCAATTGCGTCATAAGCACGTGGCGATCGTGGGACTTTAAGTTTACTTTAATTTCTTATCCGCATATTTATTATACCCTTTATATTGGAGGAGAATCTCGATGGGACCTTGATGCTGCTTAGACATTTGAACATGCTGTCCCTCTCTTCTTTGCTAAGCGTGTAGCTAGTAGGACTTAAGTAATGACGTCCATCATCTGTCTTCTCTGGATGAAGGTTGTCTCGTTCTTTCATGCCCTACAAGTCCTGGCGTGCTTCAAGTGAATCCTTTGGCTTTCAGACACACCCATGAATCCTAATGATTCACACAAATATTCTTTGTCGGTGCATCACATCGATTGCTATGGACCTCTAGGACTTGCCAATAGGGTAGATCCCAAAAGATGGACTTCTTCCACATGGGTGCGTGTCCCTTAGCATCTTTGGGAACAGATTCACTGCCTTGTCCCTTTGCAAATACTACTTTCACATCCTTGACCATTGCGAGTACATCTTCCCGGTTCGGTTATGAGGCTTCTTCCGGGTGCCGCTTACCTTTAAAATGCTTCCTTTCTTTCTTACTTGGTGATTCAAAGGAAGGAATCGACGATGGCCAAGGTACACGACCTTTCGACATCTTTTCAAATATATACTGTCAAGGTTATCAAAACAATGTGTGCATGCATTATATCCTTTGTTTGTCTGACCTGAAAGATTACTTAAAGCAGGCCAATCAATGATTGTTACGAACAACATTGCTCGTAGGTCAAAGTGTTCTTGTTTGTACTCATCCCGGAACGCGTACACCTGATTTGTTCCATAAAACTAGAAGTTCTTCAACTAATGGCTTCAGATAGACATCAATATCGTTGCCAGGTTGCCTCGGACCTTGGATGAGGATCGACATCATAATGAACTTCCGCTTCATGCATAACCATAGAGGAAGGTTGTAGATACATAGAGTGCTTGGCCAAGTGCTATGACTAGTGCTCGCTCTCCAAAAGGATTCATACCATCTCGTACTTAAGGCGAACCTTAAGTTTCTAGCCTCATTTGCAAACTCGGAAATTCCGCTCTATCGCTCTCCATCTGGGACCCATCACCGGGTGTCTCAAAGATATTGTCTATCTTACGGTCTTCTTTATACCACCGCAACAACTTTGCATGGTCTTTATTTACGAACAAACGTTTTTAAGCGTGGTATTATAGGAGCATACCACATAACCTTGGCAGGGATTTTCTTTCTAGGACGTTGTTCACCCTCGACGTCACCGGGATCATCGCTACCGATCTTATACCACGATGCTTTACATACCGGGCATTCATCCAAATTCTCGTATTCATTGCCATGGTAGAGGATGCGATCATTAGGACATGCATGTATCTTCCGGATTTTTAATCCCAAAGGCGACAACCTTTTTGCTTCAGACGTAGTGGTGGGCAATTCATTTGGCTTCGAAGCATCTTCTTTATGAGGTTCAATAAATTCCCAAATGCCTTGTCGGATACACCATTCTTTGCCTTCCACTGTAGCAATTCCAGTGTTGTACCCAGTTTTTTTTGCCCCTCTTCGGCCGTCGGGTATAGCAACTTCCTATGATCCTCAAGCATGCGCTCGAACTTAACTTTCTCTTTTTCACTTTCGCATTCTTGTCGTGCATCACGAATGGCATCGCCAAGAGCATCACCGAGATCATCTTCTACCACTACCTCTTCTTCATCTCCCCCCATTGTAGTATCATCAAAGGCACCATACTGAGCAATAATGTCATTAATGTCTAAATCTTCTCCTTCACCTTCTTCTATCATGACCCCGCTTTCTCCATGCTTACTCCAACATATATGGACAGCACATGAAACCATCCCGCTTATTTGCCTCGGCCACACCTAAGAAATAGTGCAAGCCCTCAATAAAGTCTTGGGAGCAGCGATCGGCCTTGTACATCCAATGGCGTGACATAATCTGTATTACACGACAAATTATGAAAACCTTGAACATAATTAAGTATTTTATTACACAACATAGATGACACACACACGGTTGATTAATTAACTAAGCCTGGCTACAACGTAAGCAATCCCAACTATCACTAAACAAACTAAAACTACAATGCACTTCAGTAACATAATTATTTCGTTATCGTACGCAACTAAAACAGACAAATCATTCTTCTATTGAATATCAATAAGCTTCTCCTGCTGGCTCACTGCCTCATCAGCAGCAGCCAAATTCTGCACGTATGTAGCATAATCTTCCTCCCAGTACTAACCATCGCATCCATTGCCCTCCCACTGAAATTAAAGCCAAAAAATATTTAGTCAAAAATATTCAAGAAAAGCAGGTCAATTAGCCATAATAATCAAATGCGTAAGAAACTCACATCGCGATCCGGGCACTTGTAGAAAATACGACCCTTGTTGGGTCCCTGTCTCTTGACTCGGTACTCCATCACAATCTTCTGCTTACACTTGCCGCAGATAATGAGAGGGAGTTCTGGCCTCAGTTGTTTCGCAACCGAACGAGAGGCCGAGGATCCGGTATCAGTTGTCATCTACTTTCTATACTTATTTTTGCAAACTACTATAAATTTCATATTTTCTAAAATAATATATTTAAACAAAACTAAAATTATTTATTTATCTAACTAAACCGCTCGGCAGAGAACATGCTCGCCGAGATGATCACGGTCCGCAAGTTCAACTAGTACGAATTTTCTACAATTTTCTAACAATTTTCTAAGTTTTTCATTTCATGGAAAAATTAATTCTAAGATCACGTAAGCCGCCGGGGACGAGGATGGCGCATGCTCCAGTGAGGACGAGTGAGGCGTGATTTTGATGAACTAATTTAACTTTTGTTTATCCAAACATATATGCAAATCATCATCGCAAAATCATAATAAAGTCCAACATATAAAGTTACACATGCATCTACATCGCAAAATGAGATAAGCTACTGATAAAACATAAGAGGATTAAGTTTGTTACCTCCAAAATCGAAGAGCAGCACCAATGGAGGGGGAGAGAGCAAGAACAACAGCAAGCTGAAGAACAGAGGCAGTGAGTTTGAATGGAATATCTCGGGCTCGGGGAGAAAGAAATGAGTGTATAGGCCGGCATAATTAGTCCTGGTTAGGTGGCCAAACCGGAACTAAAGATTAATATTTATTCCCGGGTTATCACCCAAAGCGGGACTAAAACCTTTAGTCCCGGCTGGTATACCTTTAGTCCTGGTTGGTAATACCAGACGGGACTAAAGATCCATGCTACGCGGACAACCGTTGGGCAGGGAACTTTAGTCCCGATTGGTATTACGAACCGGGACTAAAAGGTCCTTTAGTTCCGGCGGCAAAAAATGCTAAGGCTAAAGCTAAATTAGAATATCGTTCTAAAGTCTGTTCTCTAGCAGTGGACGTTGATAGATGAAGGAGGTGTTGATCATGAAGATGCTACTGAACGCGTCGTCCGTGTCCGTCCGGCTCGTGCACAGCCTGCCCATGCTGCAGTTGGTGCTGCTGATAAATGCGTCCGCTCCAATCTTCGCGACCCGACCAGCGAGCTCTGGATGCCGTTGACGGAGAGCCAAAATGTATGCCGTTGACGGAGAGCCAAAAGGCCTGGCGTTCCCCATGCAGCCAGCTTGTGTGCATCCTGGCAATCAAAGATGTGATCAGTCGTGAGCCCTTTTGTGCGTCAGCGTCAGATGAGGTGCTCGTTTTCAAGGGTTGAGATCCCTTGAAAAAAAAAGGTAGGGGCTCCTCTGCCGACTGTTAAAAAAAACGTTATTATTAAGTTAATAAAAAAATTATACCTGCTCAATAAGGATTACATCAAAACTTATTTGTGCGAAGTAATCCAAGGACATTAAAGTTAAAATGAAAATTATACCTAATGGTCAATAAGTACCATATCATGTACGTCACAGGAGACAAAAGCGATCAAAATAAATAGTAGTTCAAGCATTCATCCATGGTGATCACTACGACCCTACGGGTCACAATAAGCACCCTCAAACATTCATTCATGTTGTACTACTCCGAACCTATAAGTCCCCTCATCACGACAGTACAATTTCATTATGCAAGCAAGCGATACGGTGAATGTAGAGTCGCCTGACACAGAAACATTATTAAAGCCACGATTTACCGTAGCCTCTAGGCTGTGGCGGACGGCTTTGCCCGCCGCCGGAAACCGAAAACGTCCGCCTCCAGTAAAGTTTGTGTAGTAGTTTGGGGCCTACATGTGCTATAAGTATGTTTGATGCTGGAAACCCATTTTGCTGCAGGCCTGCATGTGGGTCGTTCTCTGTCCAAGGACCCGTGTTCAGACGCCCCGTGACCTCCCCGTCTGTGTCCGGTCGGAATGATTGATGCGCAGCTGCAGCATTTGGTGCGTCTGGACATCACAAAAATGTTTTTGCATTTGGCAGAAGAATTATTAGTTCGTGAGCCTGCCTGGCAAAACATCGCAAGAAGTTGTGGGCAATACAACAAGGTAATCAAGATATTGTCATGATTCCACACGATAACAGCTGCAAAGGGAACAAAATCAAAGGACCTAACGTGACGAACTATAGCTAGCTGGTAAACGAATATCAACCAACAGTGCTTTGAGCATAGCATGCATCATGCATGGCTCTTTATTCCAGAAACAGTACTAGAACACTGACGACGAGCAAGAGCAAGCATCGAGCAGAGCGGCGACATTTATTTATTTCTTCTCTGACGAAGCTCGAGAGAAGCAAACTCGACTTGGCATGGCAAATGCCCGCTTCCACTTGCAGCAGATCGACGGCGGCCCATCAATGCCATCAGAAGACCTCACCCAGGAACGCCGCAGCCGGCGCCGGCGTGCAGCGGCGCTCGCAGAAGTTTGTGAGCATGTCCGCGCAGCGGTAGGCGCGGACGGGGCCGGTGCCATCGTCGCCTGCGGTGAGCGTGTTCCTGACGCACTTCTTGCACTCCGGGTGGCACTCATGCGCCGAAATGTCATTGCACCGGCACTTCGGCTGGAGCGCCCTGTTGCAAATGCCGCAGTCGTCGCAGCACGGCCACGAGCCTGGTGTGCCGACGCATGTTTAGTCAAAAATGTCTAGTGTGCATACAGCATGCATACATACATCGTACCAAGTGATCTATGTATCCAGATGAAAATAAAACTAAACGGCAAAAGGATTGTCGTCGTCACCTTCGCCGAGCGGCAGAGCTGCGAGGACGCCAAGAACAGCCAGAGTGACGACGAGTATCACCTGAGGCCTCGTCTTTCTTTCTCCTGGCAAGAACGGACCACAATGCCTAGTTTGTCGCTTGCATTTCCTTCCTACGTATGAGGCTGGAGGTCTTCTTATAGGAGGGGAGTGCGGCTTTGGTCACAGATGCCCAGGCCCCATGCCTCCAGACTTCACTAGTATATTCAATATTTTTACTGATGATATAAAATCAATTAATTTCTACTAGCAGTAGTTTAAATACTGCTAATTCGAAGAGTATTTTCATGGGTTGTAGTTCGCAACCGCCAGTGTTAAGGGAATTTTGTCCGGCGGTAGTTTTCAACTGCCAGTGTAAAGGGAATTTTCATTGGTGGTAGTTTTCAACCACAAGTGTAAATGGATGTAACTGATGGTCATCTTCAGAAGCCATCCATACAAATCAATCCAGAAAATAGGACGAACTAGAAAAGTAGCTTAATAACTCAGCTACCAGAAAAATAATACAAACATTTCTACGGAAGGTTGTGTTATACAGACTACTGTTAAAAATGGTGTTTCACTAGCAGTTCTTGGGCATGGGCCCAAAAGAGCACTGTACTGTCGTCTCTCCTTTTATTTGCCGCTAGTAAAAAGCAGGTGACGTTAGTGAAAATTGTTTTTGTACTAGTAATATTTGTCTTTAGCCACTGTGCCCCACAAGATTCGTTGTCTATTTAGGCCTTCCCCAACGATGCTTTTTTTTGGGCTAGTAGCCCAAGTGTCATGTAGGATAGGACATAAAAGTAGATGTTATGTATTTGTCATAGTGACTTGCAGAAGCTACATATGTTTTAGGAGAGAGAAGGTGGTCCATGCTAAAAAAGAAAAGAGAGAGGAAATAAAGGTGAGGCATAATGAAAGAAAAAAGTTTTTGTGCAAACCACAAGCAGTGATAATTTATATTGTGTAAGTAGTAGTTTCAACATTTGCTAGGTTATATGGATCACTTTATTTGTATTAAAGTCATTAAAAGTGTTAGCCTCTATTGGTGGTGGTGCCGTACAAGGAGAAAGGAGAGACGTGCTATCTCATTACTTCTTTTGTCGTGCTCTGTAGGATCCGCATGTTGTGAATCATAGACGCTGGGAGTGCAGGTTACTGGCATCATTCTTCGCCACGCGCAGCACCAACATGATGTACGTGCGTGCACCTGCGTCGCAGCAGCAGCATCCACTGCATGCACATGCGTCGCAGCAGCAACAACCAATGCAGACGATATATATACACAACACGTGCATGCACGTGCGTCGCAGCAGCAACATCTACTGCAGACAATATACACAACGTGCATGCACGTGCGTCGTCAAGATGTTTCTGTACACACACTGCCTCTACAATTGTTACCATCCTTTAGATACGTACAGGATTAATTGTTACCATCCTTTAATTGTTAACAAGTACCGATTTTTTGGGGTGGAGAGACCATTTTCGGAGGCACCGAATGTTGGGGGGACACCGTCAATGCGTCGCCCCGCTATCGCCCCAGACTAGACCCCAGACGGGTTAGGGCTTCCGCGCTGCCTTTGACCGTGGGCGTGCCCTGTTATGCAATAAGGACTCTCGAAACCGGCGAGCCGACCTTGCTAACGCCCCGGGAGAAGGTAACTTTGGTTTGTTATCTTTGCAGGCCATACATCATTCGCGAGGCCATTCGACCGGGGGAGACCCTCGCGGCGCCAACCCCACCGTCGTGAGAAGGACGACGAGGAACCATGGTTGATGGGGATGGGGGCTCCCGATCTTCCTTCGGGTGATGATAACTATCGTTTTGGTGGAGTTCCCGATCTTCCTTCAGGTGATGATAACTATCGTTTTAGTGGAGTACGACATACCAATCGGGCTTCGGATCAAAAGACCTGAACCCTGCAATCTTAGCACCACGACTCCTCTGGTTATCAACCGTGTCCCCAATCCGGTTGACCTCGTCGAGAAGACTAATCCCTGCCTGCGACGACGTGCACGCCATCACCCTCCTCGCTTCTGGAATGCGCCGTCTTCGATCTCCAGTGGACTGCGCAGACCGTGCGATGATCTGCGGGAGCCTCGGACGTTGATAGATGAAGGAGGTGTTGATCATGAAGATGCTACTGAACGCGTCGTCCGTGTCCGTCCGGCTCGTGCACAGCCTGCCCATGCTGCAGTTGGTGCTGCTGATAAATGCGTCCGCTCCAATCTTCGCGACCCGACCAGCGAGCTCTGGATGCCGTTGACGGAGAGCCAAAATGTATGCCGTTGACGGAGAGCCAAAAGGCCTGGCGTTCCCCATGCAGCCAGCTTGTGTGCATCCTGGCAATCAAAGATGTGATCAGTCGTGAGCCCTTTTGTGCGTCAGCGTCAGATGAGGTGCTCGTTTTCAAGGGTTGAGATCCCTTGAAAAAAAAAAAGGTAGGGGCTCCTCTGCCGACTGTTAAAAAAACGTTATTATTAAGTTAATAAAAAAAATTATACCTGCTCAATAAGGATTACATCAAAACTTATTTGTGCGAAGTAATCCAAGGACATTAAAGTTAAAATGAAAATTATACCTAATGGTCAATAAGTACCATATCATGTACGTCACAGGAGACAAAAGCGATCAAAATAAATAGTAGTTCAAGCATTCATCCATGGTGATCACTACGACCCTACGGGTCACAATAAGCACCCTCAAACATTCATTCATGTTGTACTACTCCGAACCTATAAGTCCCCTCATCACGACAGTACAATTTCATTATGCAAGCAAGCGATACGGTGAATGTAGAGTCGCCTGACACAGAAACATTGTTGGATCGCGCGTCGCGGCCAAGTCGCCGGGAAGCAGCCAATGGGAAGCAGGCTAACATCACGAAGACCGTACCTCCCCTTCGCTGAGAGCCGCTAATAGTTCAACAAAGAAACTGGGAGTGGGTGGGAGCGCGGACCTGGTGCCGGTACACGCCGGGGACATCGAGCGCCTCGACGTGGAAGGAGTCGGCGCGCGGGCGCCGGAGTAGATGTACGTGCCTGCGCTTGTTGTGCGCGAGAGCGCCTCGACCACAGGGCAGCTGCCCGGCGCGGCCGGTGCCGCGTTCCGCCGTCTTGAGGCGGCGTCCTCTTATTTCCTCCTCAGGTCAATTGCGATGATCCCTTCCGCACGTGGTAGGGAAAATAATTTATTTATCTTCTCCTTTCTTGCGTGCTATACGTCAGAATTGCTATAAGTCAGTCGGTTGATTTAGCCCCCTGCGACATGCGATTTTGTGGCCGCCAGATCAGGAATCGCACGATCACGGTGCTCCGTCAGTTGGTCGTGCGAGACAGGCTGCCGGTCCGCACCGCATGCTCGTGCTCCAGCGTTCCAGGTCCCAGTCGTCCAGAATATGTGCACGTACATCTGTGGTTGGTCCGTGTACGCCCGTGTATAGCTCCAACGGAATACACGTAGTATGTACCGTGTACGCCTAGCCCACATGTATATTTGTATTTTTTCTGAAATTTGTGAATAATTTATGAACAATTTGATGATATTTATGAACAATATGATATATATTTATCTGATATCTTGAATCCATAAAAATAATTTGTAATTTTTTCTAAAAAAATTGGCATATATTCGTGTTATTCTCAAATTACACCACTATGTCCATTAAATTACACTGAACAAGTGGTTGTAAATATAGTAACAATTTAATGTAAATATAAGTAGAAGACCGTGTAAGTGTATAAAAAAAATTCAGTTGATAGCAAGGACAAAAACAACTGAATGTCACGTAGACAGATCCTAGATTTTGCCACTTCTTTTTACCTCTAATAATGGCAAAGGTGTCTATTTTTATAGAAAATAAACTAGATCTAATGGTTACTGATTGCCGGAGTTTATACATTTGATGGCCAGATGTTTCTAATCAATGTGAGAATTTTGATTATTTATCTTTTTTTATAACGCGTCTGCTGGACGGTAGGGTGGTGATGCTGCAGCAGTGTCGCAGTCTGCTTAACTGCGGCAATGTCGACACCTTTTTGGACCGCGCCACCCTGGTGGACCGTGTCATCACCGGCGTGGGGAGTGGCCTCTTCACGAGGCCCTATGCCGTGCACGGCATGGCCGTTGTTCCCGTATGGCCAGTTTCCCATCTCGTTCTTGTGCGTGCAGCAATTGTTGACCAACAAGAAGGTCCCACTACGCAAGATCTAGACATCACTGTCGGTTCAAAAACCTTTTTTATTGTCGGATTTTGAACCGACAGTACCATACCGGCAGTGATGGGGGTTGACATCACTGTCGGTTCTTAAAAATCGACACTGATCTACAGGTAACAGTGTCGGTTACTGGCTTTACCCGGCAGTGTCCAGTTGAACAACACTGCCGGTTTGTAGTCCCAACCGACAGTGATGGTTGCTTCAAGAGTGTCGGTTCTTGGCTCAAGCCAGCAGTGTTAAGCAAGCCTATACTGTTGGTTCATGGCTCAATTTGGCAGTGTTGACCAAGCCAACATTGTCGGTTCATGGCTCAAGCCGGCAGTGTTGAGCAAGCCAATATTGTTGGTTTGTTGCTAACCGACAGTGATGGTTACGATAACACTGTCGATTTGTTGATAACCGGCAGTGATGGTTACGACAACACTGCCGGTTTATTGCTAACCGGCAGTGATGACCCGTTCGTATTTTATTGTTTTATAATTTATTTTAATTTATATTTTTTCGTAGACTCGGATTTCGCTTTATATACGCTACGTGGACGATAGGTCCATCAATATTAAACTTTACAAATATTACGGTTACAGTTCAAATGTTCTTATTAAGATCTTGATCCCTCAAAATAAAAAAGAAATTATTCGATAAGATGAAGCATGCTTCTCGGACTTCTTACAATAATCTAGCGAGCC